TTCCGTTTTTCTGGAAAAAAAAACTTGTGATTGAAAGTAAAGACTATGTCGATGATGTTAATATTTTCCTCGCATCGAGTTAGAAAGGGGTCCCAAACAAAAACGCCCCGATACCAAGAATTTTCTTATACAAGGAGTTGTTATACTGGACATAAAGAACACACAAAGTCTCAACCGTGAGGTAATCATAAATTTCTTAAAACTTGGAACGAGCGCCTCGCCTGGGTCCTTATTCTTGAAACACGGGAGCAGCGTTCCCAGGAGATCGAGTGTTCCGTCTTTCTCAATGATATGTAATCGATAATATAGGTAACAACGACGGAACACTCGTTCTCCTGAAAACGCTGCTCTCTTGATTCAAGAATAAGGACCCTGCTGGAGTCTAGGACTATCACCTATTACGGAAAACCACTTTCGGCGTCTTTTTAGGTTCCTTATAACTGGACATTCCTGTTATAACAGATCTAAATACAAAATTAAGTCTATAACAGAATCTAACCTAGTCATTGCATTTCGCTTGAAATCCTCAAAATAAACCGCTGAATTGTAGTTTAAATACAATTTGTTTAATAACAACTGATATAAATATTTGTTTACCTGTCCCTTCTGTCTCTGTCATCGCGCCGATAGTCTCTGCTTCTCTCGCGACCTCTACTAGGACTCCTAGAAAAATCCTACTATTAATTTAACTTATTAATTTACAAACGAATTATCAATTTAGTGGTATTGTAGTTGTACTATATTAATATACACAGTGATTGACGTAGCCCGTGCATTAGAATTTAATTGGAGCATCTAATCCACCTGTAAGCTAATGAACGGGATACGTTAATCACCCTGTATATAGTAGCAGTAGCACCTTAACGCAGATCGTCTGTATGTTCGGAGAGGTTTCCTAAATAAAATCTTACTTTGGTGAGAACAGTTTTGCTTTTACAACATTTTTAACATCTGCTGGTAACCAATTATGTATGATACCTTTGCACCCAAAAAATTAAATATGAATGTCTATGAAATTTACTATGACATTGCAGAATTTTTACTACTTCAAAAATGTATGCTATGTTGTTCCTAAAAATCAGCAGTATGTGAATCACTTCCTCGTCCTAAGCCATTTTAATTTTTATTCTTATTTTTATTTGTATTCTAATTTTTATTTAAATTCCTATGTGTATTGCTGCTTTTCTATTTTGTTAGCAAAATTGTATCTAATATTTAACTGAGAATGTAGTTTTAGCTCTAATTCTATTTTGTAATTAATTTTTTTTCTTGTAAAATTGATTGTGATAAAAGCGGGTGAAGCCCATTGATAAATTAATAAAATAAAAATAAATATCTTTTACGTAATACCCCCCTGAACGATCCAAAATTACGATAAACATAGATTATTATAGACTAAAGCAATAGCTTCATCGGATTTTCCGCTTGCTATTGACAAACAATAATAAATACTAATATCCAATTGTTAATTCAAAGATATAGAGGTACCAGACCTTTTCTTTTTTTTTATTTCCATACTCTCCATACTCTTGGATTTATTTTCTTTGACTGAGGAAAAGTCCAAGGAAATGTCATGATTTTCTGAATTTAAATCTAATGTATGATATTTGTACACCTACTGCATGAGTGAAACACCCTTCGATTAAATTTGTTATTTTGTGTATAAACAACAAAAGGGATTTTGACTTTTTATCTTATCTCATGTAGGTAAAAATAAAACCTCACCAGGTTTAGGGCTTCACGAGACCACAGGACTAGTCTTGGTCTTGGTCTTGAAAAGAAAAATCGACTCAATATTTATAAAAAGATGCAAATTCCTATATCTACTTTTAATGTCTTTCAATTAAATCAATTCATCAAATTTATTATTTTTTCAAATTTACGAGAAGGTATTATAGGTTTTAAAAATACAACATACTGTAGATAACATTTATTTACATAGAACACAGAACATATAAAGAAAATCTAAGAACAAAAACAAAATGCCAGGCATAATAAAAGCTCTTCGTTCAAGTATTTAATATAGGGATTGCAATCCCAAGATCGTGATCCCAAAAATCTCAGGACTCCAGACAAAATTTTGTGTCCGAAAATCCCAGGATTCTATTAAAAATCCCGAGATTCTAAAAGGTATCACTGGAATTATTTTAATGTTGGAAATCCCGTAAATCCCGCGATCAATTGAATGAAATTCTAAATCTGATCAGAGGCGGCGCGTCGGGGGGGCACAAAAATTTCTAAATTCCAACCACAGTTAGAGTCGCCGGCAAAAAATATATGTCGACTTGTGTTTCCTGTTCGGTTGTTCCTTGAAAAGGCTGTTTGTTATTCTAGTATTTGGTTTAGTTTTTTTTTCTCCTCTTAAAGTACTTAATAAAGAGAGTTTGTCTCCCAATTTGATTATCTTTTTTACAAATAATTAACTTTCTATGCCAAATAAAAATGTCGGTAGTACAGAAAATTTACGCCTATTCGGTTTTGGAAAAAGGAAGTTTCAAAACAATCACACAGTTTATTATTAAAATTTGTGATAGCCGAGTTGTCCTTTTGTTGATTTTTGAACAGTCTGATTGTTTTGAACCGTTCTAGGAACGTCCTTTTTCCAAATTCGAATAGGCCTTTTGTTTTGAAAGCTCAAAATAATCATTTTTGGGTGTGGCGTTTTTAACCCCTCCCCCACTTTTTGAAGGCATGCGCCGCCTCTGAATCTGATACCAGAATAATCTATAATTCATTAATAATTACCTAATCTGTTAAATTCATAGTCGAAAGTATCAATAAAAAAACTTCCTGATTATTTCTCAGTGCTTATGGAACACTGATCTAGGATCAGTTCGATCAGTATCAGCTGTTCAAGGATTAAGTAAACTATCTAGGTGGAGCACACTAAGATTGTTTGAGAGAGGAAGGTTGCCTGATAACTTTATGACGTCATCTGGGTACTTATTCTTGAAACAAGGGAGCAGCGTTACCAGGAGAACGAGTATTCCGTCTTTGTTACTTATATTATCAATTGCATATCGTTGAGAAAGACAGAACACTCATTCTCCTGGGAACTCTGCTCCCCTGTTTGAAGAATAAGGACCCTGGGGTGCCTCAGCATAATGCAAATCTTCATGAGGCACCCCAGATGCGTCATCAAGTTACCCATTACCAGACAACCTGTTATAGACCGAGTTGGCAGTTAACGTGTTAATGGATATATTAGCAAGTCAAGTACCTATGTATTAATAGATTGGGAGGCCGTGACAGGTTTTACCTACTGATTTTATCCCGCATGCCTTTTTAATGGTTGATAATTAACCCAGAAACAGTAAGAAAAAATATGATTTCCACCGCCGCTCGAAGCCGCTATATAGGGAAAATCGAATTTTCATTTGTGAAAAACTTTTGTGGTTTTTGGTGATCTGTAACTGCATGCCATTTAAACATAAGGTAAAACTAACAAATTGAAAGTCTTGTAATGAAAGGCATGCAACCCGCAGTAGCGCAAATGCTTCAAAGAGTCACCTGAAGATGAAAAAAATAATGCTGATTTTTAATGTTTTGAAATTGCATGCCAACGGAAATATTCAATTTTCATCCAAATTACAAGGTAAAAAATAAATGGCATGCGCCGCTCGGTGGGGGAAATCCGGAAAATTAGCGGAAAAGCTTGTGAAAACTTTTAGTATACTTTTGGTGATTTGGAATTGCATGCCATTTGTTCAAATTTTCATTTATATGATGATTATCAAAAAGAAAAATTGGCATGCCTCTCAGGGCATAACATTGAATAGGCATGCATGGAAAAAGTTGCAAAAAATATAAACAAAAAATAATGATTGTTTTTTGCTTGCCATTTTGCATTTCATTAAAAATAGTATATTTCATTACCAGTACAGAAAAAACGATTTTTCCGTGCGCGCGTGACAAATTCTCGTGTGAGGCGCAGCTGAGCACGGGAAGTCATGCAAGAACGGAAAAATCCATTTCTGCACGTGTAATGAACGATATTTTTTATTATACTTATCTGAAAACGGTGAAAACAGAAAATTCTCATTGTTTAAAATCGCATAAGTTTTACAGAAAATAAAATATCAAAAAAAGGTACAGTCGTGGAGCATGGAAAGTGAGACACTCATCGACTCACAGGTCTTGTCATTTTTCGCTATTTTGGGTAAATCAGTCTTTTCTCTACAATGAATTTTTTGTCAAATATGACAATCCCTGTCATTGCCGTAAGTATAGCTGGTGAGTTTGTTTTACAATAGGAAAAATCGAATGTCCCACTTTCAATGCTCACGACTGTACATATGGTAAATGATGGTTATCACAGAAACTTAAATCGTTTTTCATTTTTCGGGGTGCATTTATAATAAGATATATTTGTTTAATTTCTAATGAATGACAAGGATGCAATATTGACTGACGTCTAATCTGTTTAGCGCACGGAAATAGAGATCGGGAAAAAAATTCCGTGCGCTGTTCTGGAAATGTCACCTTTCCTTTATTGTAAAGACAGGTGAAAAAGAGATGTTTTCAGTAAGTATAATAAAAAAGATATTTCAAGTGCAGAAACAAAATGGCATGCACGCACCTGCAGCCCTACATATAAAATGTGATTTTTTTTAACCGAAAATCTTAATGATTTATTTTTACATGACAATTTGCACATGATTAGACAATGTTATTTCAAATTCGAAAAGGGAATGGCATGCACCCACTTGCAGCATAAAGGCCGTGGCATAAACTTTTTCCGTGATGCCTGAGCTCGCCTTAGGTTCCTGCAGGGCGCGGGCAATTCATTCACACTCATTAGAAATAGCTTCCCTTTCCCACTAATCCCACTCGTTGCACAATGTACTATTTCTATTTACCAAATTAAAAGCAAGAAGGTGAAATTTTAATCATTTTATGACTATAAACTAGATGCAATTTATCTGGAAAAAAATTTATTTCAAAAAAATACAAACATTCAAAAACTGGTTAGTGATTCTGTATCTCATCATCATCCTCACTTAATACTTTTTCATCTTCTTCGGTCCTATCTCCTATCATCGGGTGTCTCAGACTCTAAACATTTTTACAGTAATTCTGATAAATTTAGCAAATAAAACATGAGCATTTATAGAAATTTTCCTAGAGCTCAAATTTACTTTCCGATATCCGATATTTATTGATAGGCACTTCTAGGCAGTGAGTACACTTTCTAACACAAGCACAAACTTAACTTACGATGACTGGCACCACCAACCAAGCAGTCCGCGCACTTACCGTACCGATAAAAGGTTACCATTACTAACAATTTTGGGGTAGATCTACTAACTTGGGTGGTTTAAGGTTTAATTTATTGACATCAGGAGGCCTCGGTGCAAGATTAGATCAGCCCGCTGGAGTTTTCTTTGGGTGCCACGCTTAAAAACGGTAATTTTAAGCCATCAAATATAGTATGTAGTATGTATATGTATGTAGGTGGAAATGATACATTCTCGGCAGGTGGTGTAAGTTGACACCACACACAATCAAACACCGAAGGCCGAGAATGTGCTTTTCCTCTGAAATACACATACTATTTTTTCTGCGATTGCTCAGTAATAGAAAAAATGAGGTATGCTTGTGTTGTTCCTAAAAATCAGCATACTTTCCCGTAGGGATGTACCGGATCGGGTGTTTGGCCGATCCGGCCGGAACGGGAATTCCGGCTGCTAACCGGACCGGACTGTCGGAATTCCGGCCGGATCGACAGTTTTCTGCAATTTAATAATAATTTGAAAGGGCGCATTCTTTTTTTACCGGCGAACCTACAGATGAGCAGTCTATCTCTTTCTAGTACATAGGAAATCAAGATGACTTACTCATAATGGAGAATAGCTCGATGGAAAAAAAGAAAGCGCCTAATGTTTGGTTATGTTTGAGTTTGGCTGCTTCCTTCAAATAAATTGGGGAATCCCCGAGTCTCTCTGACATCTGACTCAAACGCTTGTGCACGTGAAACGTAAACGATTTTCAGTCCAGTGTAGTTGCAGTTGTTTTGTGTTCCTGTGTATCCAACTAACGAACTAACACAGCATCTAAGTTAAAAATGTCAAAAGTATTAAAGTTTTTTGAAATCCATACCTGAATTTAATGTTTATATTTAAAAAAATATATTGTTATGGTTTACAGCTTCAATTTTAATAAAGTTCTAAGTATTCTTCTTGCTTTCCGCTTATAAATTTATTATTTAACCTATTTTAAAATTTTCGAAAATTCTGGCTGGATCACGGTTGCGATCCGGCTTCCGGGCTATAGGCCGAATCGGCCGGATTTAGTGGTACCGCCGGAATTCCGGTACATCCCTACTTTCCCGGCCTAGGCTGGAAAAGTGATTTCCTTACTGTTATCTAGTGATTCCTTAGCAATCACTTTCTCAGCCTAGGTCGGAAAAGCAACCATTGAAAATACCAGAGCATTAAGTGTTGCGACCTGTCAACCGGTCAAAAATGATGACATTGCTTGTCAATCGCAGAAAAACATTTTTTTTTTTTTTCAAATTACATATTATTATGAACTTAATAAAATAGGTAGGTACTTATGACAAATAAAGGGCCCCAATCTCGGGGGCCTCGGTGATTTGCACCAAATTGCCCTATGATAGTTACGCCAGTGTGATGAATTTTACAAATCTACCGAAATAACTTTAGGAATTTGCCTTTCATTATAAAACCATTTACGACGCTAAACATTAAATTAAAATAAGCAATATTTTAAAGATTTGCCGATTTTTCAAAAAGCATGTACTGACTATTTTTGCGTTGAAGGATGGGAGCGTGACAACACTGTTTAGTGTTTTCGTTCAGCTACTTTTTTTACATAAAACCTATAAAAACTATAAAGTTTGTTTTTTTTTTTTAAGATAATTCCCCAAGTCAAAAATTTAGTAACTATGTTGGCAACAGGCTCACTCTTTTATAGGGGGGAGAGGGCTTCAAATGGGCAGGATGTAGCCAATTTATTTGGAAATTTTTTCAGACTGTATATGTAGCTAACCAGAACTCTCCAGTACTACCTGATTTAACATTGGATAATAACGTTAGTAGCAATATTAAGTGCTCAGAAATAAGTAAGTCTGATATTTTCGATCAGATATGCAGTCTTCCCAATAAACTTTCATCAGGGCCGGACGGAGTGCCTGATTTCCTCTTGAAAGAGTGTGTTTGCACTATAGTTTTGCCATTGTATATCCTTTTTAATAGATCCTTGATTAGTGCTGTGTTCCCGAGTGAATGGAAAAAGAGCTATGTGGTTCCTATTTTTAAAAGTGGTCAAAGAGAAAATATTGAAAATTATCGTAGTGTTTGTATTCCATCCGCAATTCCAAAGCTCTTTGACTGTCTTGTTGGCAAGCAACTGAGCTGGATGTGTAAAGGTTTAATTTCTGTGGAGCAGCATGGCTTTTGTAAAAATAAATCCACATTGACAAACTTGGTAGGTTACCAGACAGGCATTTTGCATCATATGGAGGGGCAGAAACAAGTAGACTCTATATATACAGACTTTGCTAAGGCCTTCGATAGAGTGGATCACCGGATACTCTTGCAGAAGTTAACCAAGATTGGTTTTCATTCTCATTTTGTTATGTGGATCCAGAGCTCACTGACTGATCGTATCCAACATGCTAAAGTAGGTTGTTATTTTTCTGAGTCAATCTCTGTTACATCGGGTGTCCCGCAGGGCGGCCACTGTTCTCCTCTTCCCTTTAATATTTTTGTTAATGATATAACTGATTGTTTTATAAACAGTGAGTGTGCAAAATTTGCAGATGATTTGAACTTTTGGAGAACGGTGGAGAGCATTGTGGACCAGTTGCTTCTGCAGGAGGATCTGGATCGCTTGTCCGTGTGGTGTGTGGAAAATAAGTTATCTCTGAATGTGGATAAATGTTGCTATATTAGGTTTTCAAGGAAAGTAAATAGAATTCAAACTAGTTACTTTATTAACAATCAGTCTCTGAAGTGTGTGTCTAAAGTGAAAGATTTGGGTGTTATTTTAGACGAGAGATTATCTTTTATTGATCACATAAATTCGGTTGCAGTAAGGGCTTTGTAGATGTTGGGTTTCGTCGTGAGAAACTGTCAATGCTTCTCTGTGGAGGCTACCAGGGTTGTCTACTGCTCCTTGGTAAGGTCAACATTGGAATATTGCTCTGTGGTGTGGTCACCAGATTTTCAGATTCATATGGATTCTTTGGAGAGGGTGCAACATACATTTCTTAGAATGTGTGCATTTAAAAATGGCTTTGCTATGGCTGACCACGACTATAGAGCAATGGAACAACGATTGTCATTGAGTCCTCTGCGCCTTCGTAGAGATAGTTTTGGTGTAGCATTTATATACAAATTAGTACATGGGTTAATTGACTGTCCAAATCTCCTTTCTTCAGTTAGTTTTAATGTACCCACTAGGGGACTGCGGCAACACCCAACATTTCTCATACCTTTTCACCGAACAACATATGGTGAAAATAATCCTATTGACAGATATATGTCATTAATTAATAACTTAAATATTGATATATTTGATATGACCCTAGGTCAATTAAAAATGTACCTGAAGAATATGTGATATTTTTTGTTTAACAGGGTCAATTCTGGTTTGTGTATTATTTGTTGTACCTAATTCTGTTTTATATGTTTCCATATGTTAACTACTCATTATCAAGATCAAGATATTTTTCATAATACCTACATACTTTTACTAATACCTACTTACTTAAAAGATGATTTTTGGCTGTTACTGTACTTAATATGTTTTATATTATTGTGTAGTATTAATTTTTGTAGTTAAATAATATTTATTATTTATGTAGTTATAGTTATAATTTAGTACCTAACTTATACTTTATCCTTTATATTTTTTCTTAAATTGTATTTTAACAGTTAATGGGGTTTTCCCGTAAATAAATAAATAAATAAACACAAGCCTTTCCTACATAAAAAATTTGAAAGCTTGACAATTTTACATTGTATTGCCAACAGAATGTCATTTTGACTTTTATCTTTAAAAAAAAAACAGACTTTACTTGCACTGGCAATACATGCCATTTTTTTTTTGGCTTCAAATAAGATTTTTCAATAAATTGCCAAGTGTCATGCAAAAAAAATCATTATTTATTTTTATGTCCGCTTGACCAATAAAGTGCTATTTATAAAACAGTTTTGCGTCAATAAAGTAGCACTTTATTTTACTAGTAAAATAAAGTAAAATAAACTGCTACTTTATTTTACTAGTAAAATAAAGTGCTACTTTATTGCCTACCTGGACTACCTAACAACCTGCCAAGGTGAAACAGGTCCTGACAACTTGCCAAGGTGAAACAGGTATACCTACGCAAATTTTCATTTTTTCATTGGATTTTTTTAATTTATAACAAAAACCAGGCGCAATCGTACATAAAATCATGTATATACCTAATGCTTACATTAACAGGCTTTATTGACTCATTATTTAATAGCCTCGCTCGCAAGCTCGCTCGGCCATAAAATTATTCGTACAATAAACCTTACTTTATGTACTTGTTATATAAATAGCTATTATTATTTTTTACAACTTTGATTATTGTTCACAATACTATGCTCCAAAGCTGGATGCATGCCCTCCGGGCTATATAATTATTTCATTACAAAATCATTACTGAACATTGTTTCAACGAGTTTAAAATCACCAAAAGTATACTAAAAATTTTCACAAGATTTTCCGCTAATTTTCCGGATTTCCCCCACCGAGCGGTGTATGCCATTTATTTTTTACGTTGTAATTTGGATGAAAATTGAATATTTCCGTTGGCATGCAATTTCAAAACATTAAAAATCAGCATTATTTTTTTCATCTTCAGGTGACTTTTGGGGCATTTGCGCTACTGCGGGGTGCATGCCTTTCATTACAAGACTTTGGATTCGTTAGTTTTACCTTATGTTTAAATGGCATGCAGTTACAGATCACCAAAAACCACAAAAGTTTTTCACAAATGGAAATTCGATTTTCCCTATATCGCCGTTCCAGCACAACATCGACGCAAC